CCTGACGATTCCTGAAAGCAATGGTTTCGGTAGTAACTCAACGACGAGCGCCACACGCCTCTTTAAAGTTGAATTAAGAAATCAATTTAAACAGTATATTTAGAAGAAAGATATATTTTCTTCTCTTCGTTAAAAGTGTTCTTCTGTCATTATTAATATTATTCTGTCAGTATTAATATTATTATTCTCTTTGTGAAAAAGAAAGTCTTAACAATAGATTAAACATGGATATAGCTATTATGTATAGATTTATATTTTTTTTTAGTAATTTCTAATTGCTATCAGTTTGTCCAATTTTGACTTTTTTGATAAAAAATAATGGTTACGAACAAATATATTTTAATAATTAACTATTAATTAATATAATTTTTGGTTTTTATTGAGAAACTATTTCTAGGCACTTGGGATATTAACATTAGTTTTTGGTTTCTTTTAAGAAACTATTTGCAGATATTGGACATCCCGCCAGGACATCAGTCCTAGATTAGTGTTTTTATATACATGTACTATCCTATATATATAATAAAATACATGCAAATCAATATACTATTTTAAAAAATTTTTATACTTTTTTGAATATTATATAAAAAAAAAGAAATTATTTGAATGATATATATAATATGAAATTATATATATGAATATAACGTAAAATGTGTGGATATTTAAAAACTTCGAGACAAATCGAATGGGTACCCCGATATCAGAAAAAAATCAACAAATTAAAATCAAGTAAAATCCGAATAAAATGGCAAAAGAGCCACGCGCAGTTTTTAGGGCGCAAAGATATATAATTAAAAGTATTAAAAATAAAATAATACCTCACCCCTGAGAAATGAAAAAGAGGAAAAAGCCTATCCTCACACATTTTTCCTCCTCGATGGTATCTCCACCTTAACGAAGGCATTTGCCGGGTGAGGAGGTTTGCGTACTCTAATGAACCTAAGGGCTATGCCGGCGGTAACGTATAGCGTTTTCGAGTGATCAAGTTTGATCGCTTTAAAACCGATTAATGAATAAAATTCAAACTCTGTCTTGATTTTAGGGATATTCGGATTATTAGATTAATCAATCAATATTTCGAGTAAGCGTTTGATTGATTAATCAAGTCAAAAACGGAGAATGTACTTTATATTATTTATATTAATTGAGATTCTCTCAAAACCTATTTTTGATCAAATATATATTCATCGTAAATTGAGTCTAATCGCTCTCAAAGCGATTAAACTTGCTTCATTCAAAAACGCTAATAAGTTACCGGTAGGGTCACCCATGCCGGACAGGTCAAAGGGGAAGAGTCAGACTAAGAGAGATACTATAGTTATACTTTTTATATTAATATTTTTAAATAAAATGAAAGTGAAAAAGACAATAATCGAGAGAATGGATAGAAAAAGGAACTCCGAAATATTTTCATACTTTCATCGGGATTTAGAAATATTTTGATACGTGATACAACATACAAAAAATCGATTTCTGAAAAACACAGAAGTCTATTCTAATATAATTTTTCTATAGTTTTGTAATCTTTTATTTTTTTTAATGTTTTGAGCATTAGCAGCATTAATCAATTCTTTCATGTTTATATGATCGTCCGGTAATAGATATACTGTCAGGTTTACGCAAAATATTATACAAAAAATCAAAATATCTCTTGCAATATTGGTTGGAGCGTAAAAATTAAGAATTTCTTTTATATTTTGTGGCGTGCTACACAGGACTCTAATTAAAAAGAAATGCGAAGAAATCTACTTATTCTAATCCTTGAATGTGTCTTTATACGACATGCGAAAAATTATGATTTCCGAAACGCGGAGATTTATTCTTTTATAATTATTATATTTTCCTGTAGTTTTAACCGTGTTCTTTTGAATCTATGAAGTTTTAATCATTAACAGAGTCAAATAATTTTTTTTACACACACATATACACACATATTTTTTTACATATTTTTGCACGTTCTACTCGGATTCGGTGAGTCATTCCTCAGTGTATCACTTGTCATTTATCGATTTCAATTTGAAATTTAGAATGTAGCAACCAGTATCGCGCAGATTAAAGTTTTTAATACGAAATTGATTTTTATATTTTGTTATCAATGCAGAAGATGGTCTAAAAAACGGTCCGAAACGTACATTTTTAATGCATATTTGTCACTGAAATTTAACAACCAAAAGTTTGCACACCAATATTCGCGCTTTGCTCTTATTTGCCAGTTTCCCCATTTAGTATTTCGTGGTTGACATATGGTTTTGGCGAATCAATATACATTTGCATAAATACCTGTCTACATTCGGTCTTATCTGACTTCATCGGTAGCTCCATAAATTCTTATAATCTATAAATTGCGTAAGTAAAAGAAATGTAATCGCATCAATCAACGATTATTATAATGATGTATAATATTTATAAATCATTCATTTTTTTTATTACAGAGTTAATTTCTTTAAGGATATTATAAAAACTGGTCTCTTGCAAACTACAGAACAATTTGATATATTTACTTAATTTATATATACTTAATTAATATATATAGGATGTTCCACGAAAAGTGGCCATTCCGTTTTATCTTTTAAATTAAAACAGATAAATAACAAATACATATCAAATTAAATGGTTCAAATTAAACTTTATTGTGAGCAAAGTAGTTGCTTCCAAAAACTATCTGTGTTAACGAACGGAGAGGTATGCATAATTTTTTTTTATTTATATATAATAGCTTTTAATGTGCATCAGTGTGCTATTGTTTAAAATGCTTGATAATTTTATTTCAAGAATAAGAAAAAAGTAAAAGCTATTTATATATATATATTGTTTATATATATATCTTCTACACGTTATACATTTAAAAATTAGAAAAAGAAATTATTAAGAAAATTTATTTTATATTACATGCGCATATATATAAAAATACTTCAATAATATAATAACTTATTATCGCTGTCCGTAATATATACTAGAATGGCAAAACATCACGCACAGCTAATAAAACATTAATAAATCCATAATATTTCTTCGCAATTTTGATCCACAATTATGGATCTAGCACACACATGCATCAACCGGTTGTTTTACCGTAGCACCGAAAAATGAATCTGACCATGTAGTTCCGCCGGCTATAAAATGGATTTAGTTGACGCTACTGTATCAGCTAGAAAAAGTATCTTATGAAGAACGGCGGCGTGACCCCTCTCAGGCTTCTCTCTGGTATTAATAAAATCAGAAATATAAATTTATTTAATTTTATTTGGCCGATAAAATTAAAACAAAAATTGCCTGAAAAAATAATTTCATGCACTAAGTATAACGAAATGTCACTCGTAAAGTGTCACAACGCGAACACGAGATAGTCAACGTAAATGTGAGAAAATATATATAAAGCTCTTCGCTCAGTGTGCATAGTAATATAAAGTTTAATATATACAGTCTCAAACTTTCACGGGTTATGATCAAAACTACTCGTGCACCAAGCGTCCAAGCAAACGCGCGCGTTCTCGGTGCATTGCAAATTTGAAATGCTTCTTTAAGGCATGAAGCACAGTCGGATTTTACGTTGTGCTTAAAAGAGCTTATTTGGGAATTTCGAGGGTACTCTTCGTACGGAGCGAATTCATTATGCTTGCGTCGTAACTTCGACGACAATGATGCTTGAAATAAAATCACAACAATAATATAATACTTGATAACGACGCGCCGCACTAATTAACGAAAATCGTATAAGTCAAAATTGCGGAAGTCAGGAATATTTTGTTATCGAGAGAAAATGATATGTTATTAAGAGATTTGCATTTATATTTTAGTACAAACTGCTGGCTAGCCAACCAAATTACAAATTTAAAAAAATATTTTTAAAGCTTCGAGACAATAGTTGAGAGATTTGTGGATTAGCTAAATGAAAAATTATAAAAATTGATTATTTGCAAAATTTTTATTATACGGATTTACATTATACCAATATATTTGTTCTGTTCATTCTAATCGTTTAATGATAAAAACCGCAACCGAAAATATAAGTTACCGGCAAGTTTAATATTATCTGTTGTTGATATCGTAATAAAATATTTTATTATAAATACCGATAAGGTACAGTTAAAGGCTAGCCACGGACAAATTTTTGTCGCGATCAAATGGGCTCGATAGGCCCGGAGATAATTAAAGAACGACATTACCAACCATTTTATCATACCGTTATATATTTTATTGCTAATTTTAAACTTTTAAGCTTTCTTCTATTATTTGGCATATCTGTATATACTCTATGTATGTGATGTATATATTTAAAAGAAAAAATATTAATTGCTGCACAAAATACATAATTTCTTTAAAAAAATTTAATACACACATTTTTATCATGTTTTATTAATATTTGTAAAATAGAGTTTTTTTAAATGGTATTATAATATATTAAATATGTTTAGAATAAAATAGCATATTAACACACACACACACATAAGTTTTATATGTATTAAGGTTGATGTGTCACATAAGTATGTATTAGTATGTTAACAATTATAGTTCTATTTATAAATTAGTTTTAATTATGAAATAATATTATGTTTAAAATATTTTTGTATGTATGTATGTATGTATATAAATTTGAGAGATCTAATCATAATAATATATTTTTAATGTTTTTACATTTTTCGCAAAATGTAGCGCTTAGACAGATTACTGCTTTATTCAGCAATTGCAGCTCTCATCGTCATAAAATAAGATGCAATCGTTTTCAGGAACTGTAAAGATAAAACATTATTTTATAATATATATATATAAGACCAAAAAATCAAATTATTTGATAAATAATTATTGCATTATTTGATTATATAGAAAAATAATTATGTAGTATTTTTTTTCTTTCTCTCGTTCGTTTTTTTCTGTAAAAATGCGAGAATTAAATTATGTATGATAAATAAGTATTTTAATATATTCGTATAAATAAATATGGTAAATATAGCAAATAGGGGACCCAGCCCCAATGATCTTGACCTTGACATATGTTGTCAAGGACATAATTCTGAGTAACTTTTTCTATTGGTACATTTCAAACTTTTTTTGTTAATAAGTTTTTAATAAGCAACAAGCGACGATTAAATTAGAAGAAAAAGTTACTCAGAATTATGTCCTTGACAACATATGTCAAGGTCAAGGTCATTGGGGCTGGGTCCCCTATTCGCTATATTTACCATAAATATTACTAAGAAAAATATTGTTAATAATACAAACTTTGACATGTTAAAAATATTTAACTATATAATATAATGAATATCTTACATTAGCATAATATTGTACTGACAGCACTGGAAACATACCGCCCATAGATATCAAAAGTGGTTTCTGGCTTCTTTGTATAAAAATAGATATATTAGTGATTGTTTCATGAGATTTTTCGTACCACGGTATACTATATGCAGACCAAGCAATTTGTTGACTCTAAAATGTTATGGAGAGATAAACAGAATTTGTAAATATAATCTAGTTGTGTATACATCAAATAATGCAAGATAGATATTAAAGTCAACACAATTTGAATGTTATTTATATACTTTAAAAATGTTTTGTCAAGTTAACTTTCATATAATATATTTAATATTAACGTACTCTCTCTGTTTTTTATAGCACGCTTTAAAAGTAATCGAGAATGTAATGTGAGAATGTGTTAATATATATTAATGCATATTTTTTAACTATTACCAAAGAACACACACAATGTGATCAATATATAATTTTCTATTGTAGTAAAGATAAAACCAAGAAATTGTTATTACGAATAAATATTTTATTTGCTAATAACTTACAATTTCTGCTAAATCATCTGCCGGCCAAGCCGTAATATAAAGTCTCTCACATCCACCTAATACCATGCAGATAAATTGTGCCGTTACAGCCAGAGGTTGTTTCTAGATTAGATAAATACAATATAAATATATATAAGATACTCAAACGCGTTTAATCTGTACGTAATTATGATAATCATATTCGAATTGTTCATTTTGGTCCAGAATGTTATTTCATATTATATGTTTGCGATCCACAGATGCTGAAGATGGTCCGAAACATAGGACCGAAACGTACGTTTAAATAATAAACCAAATAAGTTTAACAAGAATTTGCGCTCAGCCTACTGCGCGAGGTTCTTAATTAGCCCGTCTTCTTCAAATTATATTAAATTAAATTATTCAAGAATTAAATGTTGTCCGTATAAGATTTATAATTTGTTAATATTAGCCTATCGCTATAATGTACAATGTAGGCGTAATACACACGGCGTAATACATAGAAAACGAGGAAATAAAATCAGCTGTGCAGTAAAAATCAATATCACCTGATTTGAAAAAATCAATAACAGATGACAGATCGGTACGCGTGTACGTGTAATTACGGGCCTGAGCGCGCGACTTTTACGCGATATCATTGGCAAACTTTGACCGCTTATAACTCAAAAACTATTGCAGCCTCAAAATTTTTGTATTAGAATTTTTGACTCTATTTTTTTATTTTACCTCTAGAATACGCTAATAAAGTATTGTACGGAGGTTGTGAGACACCCTGTATATATATATATTGTACTTTTTGAAAATTATTTTTTGTCTGTTATATGAGAATAGCTGAATTTTTTGAAAACACAAGCAAAAAATATAATAAATAGGCAATATTATATAATTACTCACATGAATTAACGGAAAAGCTCCGCAAATTACGGCAAAGGCCATTGTAATATTTGATTTGCAAATTAAATATCGAACTGTATACTGAACTTCATCTACAAAACTAATACTGACATTAATTACAACAATAAAATAGATTTTTGTTATATATTCAAAATATTAGAATATATAATTTTAAATACATAATTTTAATCTAGATGACTAATTTCATAAGTATGCAATTTGCATCTCATAAAAATAATATATAATATGTTTTATTATGAGATGATAGATAATTTAAAAAAAAAATTTTATGTAATTAATGCCAAATAGATTGCATAATAACATGACATAATAGAAGTTTGACGATATTTATATCTGAAAGAATTAATTTGTTACTTTATTATTCCTTGATGTTTTTGGATGCACGTTTTTACATGACTTTCGTGTGTTATTTGTTGAAATTCTTGTCCCAGCATTTCCAGTCTTGCAGCGGAATACCAGAAGAACATTGCAATCATGAAATCCACCGTGATACAGAATCCAGTTTGCAAAATGGCGAATACTTGTAGAATGTAAAGAATACCTCTAGTGTAGGGAGTTTCGATAGAAAACGGATACCATGCTTCCATTGGGAGATTTATCGACAAGAACAAGGGACCGCAGGAAAAAGTGATCGCTGCCAGGATATAGGATATTCCAACAAAGGCATAGAAGCCCGAGTAACGATTTATATATTTTTGTATAATATGCCTCTCATGCAACTCGGAATGTTTGAGAAAGTTCCTCAATTGTGCTAAAAGTTTCTGTATATATATACGCATGTGAAATATCAAGAAACATTTTAATTATAGCAATTAAAATAATTATTTTGTATTTAATTTTGACATGTGTTATATTATTTTTAGAAATTATAATTAGTAGTATTTCAGATTATACTTGTAAAAAAATGTAATATTATTTAATAAGCATATACACTTTTTTAGTGCCATGTTTATTTTATATGCACTTTGCCATTATATTATATTATATATGTATATTCTTCACAAAAAAAATAGTAATTTATCTTAACATATCAGGTCTATTTGCATAACATATGGGTTTAATATTGTGTATAAAGTTTTAATATATTTAGGATAACAGAATCAAACCTGTAATCGCGATCTTCCTATCCTACACAGGATTAAATTAAAAAGTACTTCCATCAATGCTGTCAATTCAGATAATGCCTTCATCATTCGAATAATATCGTTTTCAGAATACCATGCGCCAAGAATCAGCGGTGGCAACGAGCCCAACACATTCAAAATTGCCAAAGTCCAACCGAGATCTCGAAGGAAGATTTCTCGCTTTCCGGCTGTGGATTCTGGTGGCCATGTGCTTGTGAACATCCCACAAATTTCGAGTATGCGAAATATCTGATGAATATTGATACGGATTAGCACCATTATCTCAGATCACTAAGAACGCAACTCCTGGTATTTGCAGATATATTCATATCTTCCCTACTTTGCGCGAAATACAGCTATACATCATTGTTATAGCAGGCGATACTGAACGACATAAATCGATGCTTCATTATGCATTCCTTGCAAGGCGCATGATAAAAAGGAAGTAATTAATGGTCTACAAATGATAGAGAAAATGAGATATGATACGAATGAAAGTGAGATATAAGGAAAATGCATTGTACATAGCTTTTAAACGTAGCTGATATTCAGCTTTTGTTAAATCTATATTTTACAATTCTAGCGTTCACACGCTATTCATTATGCATTCCTTTCAAGGCGCATGATTAAGAAGAAAGTAATTGATGGTCTACAAATGATAGAGGAAATGAGATATGATACGAATGAAAGTGAGATATAAGGAAAATGCATTGTACATAGCTTTTAAACGTAGCTGATATTCAGCTTTTGTTAAATCTAGCGTTCCACAATTACTCTCTCATTTAATAAACCTAGCAATTTGCATAGATTGTTTTGGAAGGAATATATCCGATGTTAACGTCTATAAGAAGTATCTATAGTGGGTGCTTTCCATTTAGTGACTCAAGTCGACAAAAGCATCATTCTATCTTTGTTGTTCACTGGTATTGAAAGAAGATAGAATGATACTTGTGTCAACTTGAGTCACTAAATAGAAAGCACCCGGTGTAGTGAATGTGGAAATATGCACGATATATACAGTACAATAAGAAAAAAACAAAGATCATGTAAAATTAGCTGAAGAGTTTTTCATAGTGATATTTGTTTTGTTTTTTTGATAAAATATATATAATAATGTTTAATACATGCAAGGAATTAATGCTGTTTATATAATTGATAGCTTATTTAATTGTTATATTGATATCATTGTTTATTTTTTGTAAAATAAAGTGTGCTACAAAACACATACATACACATAGAACTTTTTTGCTATCAATAATGAGAGACTAATATCATCTTTATACTCTTAATAATTACTTGTGCTATTTTATGAACAATTTAATCATGCTACTTTACAATCTGTGCATTAAAAAAAGTATTGTTTTAAAACAAAATTGCTATTTTGCTACTTTTATTTTAAATATTTAAATTATAAGTACTATTAAGCAGAAAAAGAAAGAGTAGACAAGTAGAAGTTTGCCTGTCCTAAAAATCACTTCAAGATACTTTTATCTTAAATATTTTTCGATAAAACTTGTATTTTAAAATTTGTTTAGAATAATAATTTTTAATATCAAATAATAATTTTTACTTATTTGGTACATATAAAATATTGATATCTAGTTATTAATTTATATTGTGCCTGCAATGGTTTAACAGATGTGAAATATATCACATATGTAAATTGCCTTCTCTGATTCTAATCACCAATTATTGTTCTCATTGCTGTGTAAAAAGATATCATCGTCAGGAAATACTGTAAAAAGACAATATTCATAATTCTTTATTATATTTTTATTTCCGATTATGTTTAAAATTGTTATATAAAGTATACATCATTATAAAAA